TCATCTTGGACCCAATGGAACCTCCCCCACTAGCGTCCCCGTCTGTAAGTAGCGGAGCTACTCCAGCTGACGTCGATGCGCTGCTTAGTGCGAATTTACCCAGCTCCGGATCCGTAAACATCGACGACTTGTTAGTTTTCGCGAATGGCGTCTCAACTGACCACGACGATGAAACTTCCGATGCGGACTCCACCGTTTCAGTAACAACGTCGGAGACTGCTCATCCTCCAAATGGTCTTCAGCAAATCGCCATGGATTACCCTGCTGCCGTAGACAGTTCTTCTGGGAACGACGCCGAAATGCCAGACGACGTCTTCGAACCCCCAGCGGGGAATCCCCTGAATGCGGATTCATCAGGTATCACTCCCGAGCGTTCCACTTCGCATGATATCCGACTTCCAACACCAACGCCAAGCCCTCGACGCCGTATCATGGCTACATTGTTCCTTACTCTTCTTTCCTGTGCTCTGGTCGGTGCCGATTTAAACAAAACGTTGTGTGACTGCACTTCGACGAAATTCATTGGATTAGCGGACCTCCAGGGACTTATTCGCTGTGGTAGTACCAGCGGAAAGGTCCGAACCTCTTTACCGGTAAGTTATCGAGTCCATGAACATCGTCCTAAGTCCCGTACGTTTCATGGCTACGTGTGTAAACTCGTACAGAAAAGCATCGTACAGGAGGGTTTCCTGTTTTGGTCTTATAACACCCAACGAGTCGACGTGATCGTGCCCATTTCAGCGGATGCCTGCCGTGCGATGGTTAATTCTGGGAAATGTGGATCGAATCCCATGGTCCAGTCTGGACGTGTATGGCTCTTCGACGGCATTCCCACGGTCGAACGTCGTTGGAACCAGGTACGCCAAGCGGATCTCTTAACTTGTCTTTTCGAGGAGGTAACTCTTGAGGTTGCCTGCGAGAACTGTCCTGTTCTCGCAGCCACAGGGGAAATTTCTTCCAACTTTTCCGCCGGGTCGAGCGTCCATCCCCAAGAAACCTTTGTATGGGACAGCCACATGCTGCCCCAGGAATGTCAGTATCGTCCCATCCTGAAAGGACAAGCCACCTGGATTGTCTTTGATACCGGGTTCGCTCACCTCCAGGATCACAACCAGCAGGTGTCTTGGTACCTTCAGGAACGCAGACACGAGCTCTGCGGACCCACGAAAGGTTTCGTGTACACCGTCAAGAACCATCCCACGTTGCTGGTTTCCTTCAATCAGACTAGTGTACCTCCACGACTTCTTTTCCTAAACCAGTTTCTCCCCATCGGAGTAACCGTACTCTATTTCCGCCCGACGATACAGGTCTCGCGTTGGCCGCGCACCTCCAGTACATCGAAGACTACTTTGCCTATATGGAACTGGACATCGCGCGTCACCTCTCGGCACTCCAGTGCCAGGCCGATCACCAGACAGTTCGGCAGTTGGAACTCGTTAGCTTAAACTCACCCCTGAATGCAGCACACTTCCTCGGGTACCCGCATTGCTTCGCCGCAGTTGTCCGTGACTTTCACGCTAGCATCTACCAGTGTGCTCCGTCAACGTCTCCATTTTTGCGGTTCCCGGGCATTGTGGTCCCCAACCTCGTTTTCGCATCCAGGCGGGAAACCACACCATGCTCCGTACGGTCGATTATGATGGTATGCTTATCCGTCCAGCCGTAGATTGCTACCACCGATACGATGTGGTCACCATTGACGGACTCCCGTATCGCTATCAGGATGGAGACTGGACGCTCGTGAACCCCAGTTTTCACCCATCGGTCCAGGCCTATGCCCATCGCATAGAACCACTTGAAGATAATACGGAGGAACTTCTCGGTGGTTCCCTGCGTGAGGATCCGCTGCGGTTTCTGGACCTTACGGCTGAAATAAGTGGTATGATGATGGTGAACGGACTGAGTAATTTTACTCGCCTTATCACCCCAACCACTGAACGCCAGGACCTGGAATCACTCAGTCTGCTTAACGGTGTGACTTCCCTGGCCTTCCTTCTTGTGGTGTTCATGATCCTTTGTTGTGTTTGCGTCCGCTTCAATCGTAGCATATGTTGTTTTTTTCACTACCTTTTCCAGTGTCTCGGGTTTTATGGACGGATGCGACGCTGGACACCTCCCCGGACTGTGCGACCACCTCCGGAACCCACTGGGGTCGACCCGCCCGATTACGTGGATGAGGACGGACTTTCGCAAACGTTCCCAGACCCTCCAAATATATCGGCAACGGCTCCCCCACCATTACCTCCGCGACCGCAAGTAGTTCCCGGAACACCGCACGCCAATTCAACGGCTCGGGTAACATTCGCAGGACGGACCGCCACCTATCACCCGGCGCTAGCGCCTTGTTCTTGAGAAGTGGCTGGCCATGCGGTGTATATTATGTAAATTATAGGTTGTAGAAAACCCCGATCGTAAAATGTAATCGTTGTATTCGTGTTGAACGCTCCGTCGTCAGCACAATTCCCTTACTTTGCGACAATTTCAAAAACAGATTTTTCTTTATTTATAAAGCGATATCATCTTTTCCTAACAATGAATAAAAGCCATAAAAATTGTTATTCAAATATTGCCCATTTTGTTTAGCTAATAGGTTCGTTAAAACCACATAAACATAAAAAAAAAAAAATTTTTTATTAATGCTTCTATCGGTGTTGATTTGTAACAATAATTTTAATATTGGTTTTCAAACAAAAGAAAATTATTAGTCGATTTCCTAATATCTGCTGTACATGACGCTGTAATCCCGGACAAGAGTGGCGACTATCCATCAGACACACCGAGCCTCGGGAGACATAATACGGGTACGTACGTTGTAGTCCGGAGTAATATTTTCCTTTAGTACGAGCTCATTTACTTCATTAATTGTATCGTTAGTTAACAAACTGCCGGTCAAAATACGAGGGTTATTTAATAATCTTTGAACATGTCGTGACCTTGAACTGATATTATTCATAACTGTACGGGAATTTTGACCAAAACTCCATTGCGTGATATCCCACGCCCTACTATACGGCCGCGCACAACCTGACAACCGTTCCACCGGATCCCCTTAATGTGCTTAAACTGCCAAGTCTTTCGGCGTCGATAATTTAATAGCTGTGCACAACCGCAAATACCATCAAATCAGGCGTAATCGTGTCCAGTTGCGCCAACAACTGTAGGCGGTTCGGACAACAGCACCATAAGGGTTAACGCCCTGCGGTGCTGCGTCGCCCGTCGGCGCGGACACTGATTACAACCCAGAGGCGGTGAAACGGTGCAAGAACGAAACGCGTATACCACCAAAACGGGAATTTATTTTTTATTTTGAAAAAAAAAACCAAAAAACGATTTTGTAATACCTAAAGCACTGGATATCGCCAGCAGCCTTGCCATGGACACTACAGTGCCGCTGCGCTGATATGTTGTGGGATCAGGGATATCACGCAAACGGGATGGGAATTTCCGATAATTGGGCGCAATTAATTGATCTATGGTCACGTCGTATGTCAAAGGCTACTAGATAGCTTATATATCGCAATCTAATTGCGGGTTTACTATGCAAAATATTACAAAATATTGCAATATATATATATTCTGCGATGACTTTCTGTTCTTTAAAACCGGCCGCAAAATTGCAAAATCAGAAAAAAAATAGGACAGTGTATTTTTTATAATTTAATCCTTATCTGTAAACCTCCGGACGAAGTTATCTTTCTCGAATCCGGCTTCCACTGGAAGTCGAGTTTGGCCCCCCGCAGTGCAGGTGCTCCTGCAGAGCTGTCCCTGCGTTGTCCGCACCTCGACTACCAGAAGCCCGCGTAGTGGGTTTCAATGCCTGGCCGTAATCCATACCCCGTCAGCGGTGTACGTTTGTCACTCCTTAAAGCAAAATTGCAAAAATACGAACGTTTTCGTAAAATTGCGGGGATTATTTCGTTCAAATATTTCACTACGATAAATTAATAACTAACGAAAAAAAAAACAACCTTGTTGAGATTCTCTCGTTCGAATATTTAATTATTATAAACAAATGCGAAAAAAAAAACCTTATTATTATGCTACTTATTCATAATATGTAGTTTAGTATTTATTTCGGGAAGAGAGGAAAAGTTCTGAAAACAAAACAATTCGGGTTGTTCTCCTTCAATAGAAAATAAAATAAAAAAAAAACTACAATTCGGGTTGTTCTCCTTCAATAGAAAATAAAAATTAAAAACCAAACGGGTGTTGAAAACTCCCGATGCATATTTTATTTATTGCTTATGTAATATACGGATACGCATAATATGGCCATCCAGCTACTCAGGGTTTTATCTGCGGACCAGATCGGATCAAAGGAACGTTCACCGGGCTACCACTCACAGCACCAGAAGGAACTCCGGAAGCATGGACGGTATTACCAGGACACCACACCAATGTTGCGTCGCGGATATTAACATCCATGCCATACTGGCCACATTGACATCATCCTCCCCATACATCTTCTCATATCACCGATATCGTGGTGTTATCATATAATATGCATGCACATAACATACAGATCGTTTGTAAAGTTGCCTGCCCGATTGCTTTTAACTATTTTTCTGTGTAACATTAACACTGTTTTTGGTACGTTATAAGCTTCACTGTTTTCGTGGCAATAGACTGCGGACAGTCTTCATATCGGAGAAAAGTGTTACGTTAGCGATGTTTTAATGCGATAATTCTCCCTATGATTCACGATATCTTGTATCAGATATACTATCCGTATAAATACTTACATGTTCGCTAAAATCAACAGAGTTACCCTACCAGTCTTATGTTCCGAACTTTGCTTCCTACTGTGTACTGACAATCACCAATAAAGGCTTGTAATATCTATTCGCCGGTTTTGCCATTTGCTCTGCCTAAGTTTCGTAACAATCAGAAGGCATAAAAGCAGAAAAGGCGAAGGAGTAGGCGTAAAACTTAAAAGAGAAGGCGAAGGCAAGGGAGAAGGCGGAAGGAGAAGGCCACTCATATATAGCCCGCCCACGTACCTTCGACGGCGAAACAGCGGCGAACCCGGATTGAGACTTTAATGCCGAAATCTAAGGTTTGCACCGTGGCGCAGCAAACACCAGAATAATGAGATCGGATCCTACAGCCAGCGCAGCTGCGCTGTAGATCCGTCAAAACACCACAAAAATGTGCGGGGTGGAAATCCCCAGAAACAGCGAAACACAACAGCGAATGGCCAATTATGAAGCCGGAGCTATCGGCCTATAATGTGGAACTCAGGATGAGTCCAGGACGGTGATCCAGACGGACAGGATCCCGTGGAGTATGCAATGCTAATTGTATACGGCTAGTGTTACAACACACGGCAACCGTTCAGCAAGTGCAAACTTTATGACTGACCAAGACTGAATCACGGTGCATTCGGCGAGCCGCATTCAGCTGCCACTCATCAACACATTCGCATGTGGCGCGATAGAGAACAGAGAGAAACGGCTCTAAAGCCGATATTAACAAAAGACCAGCTAGACATAGCACAGACGGAGAATCCGTACGTACAACCCGGATACGGTGTACGCAGTGCAAGCCCTCGCTCACAGGCCTTCACAAGCGCATACGATGAATGAGCGCCGCATATCCGTCGCTATATCCGCTTAGTCAGCAGTAAGCGCGGCAACCGTGTTCTCTCTGTTCTTTGTCTAACTCTGTTCTTTGTCTAAAAAGCTAAAGCCGCAAAACCGGTTCCGAGGTAAAGTAACCACTTGTACTTCCTGCGCCGTATAGTTTGTTAAAAGATTTAATTAGCCATCTCAGTCTGCATCGCATCCAGAAACTGATTCTTTTATCTAATGTTACTTTTTGCAGTAGTCTTATTAGCTGATAAACTTGAGAATGCACCTTTACGGTGAACAGAATTTCCAGTTTTATCCCGTGCACCGCTGGAATTCGGTGGATGTGCTGACGGAGAGCGGACTCTTCCAGCACGGCGAAGTGATCGACGTGGCCGAGAAGGGCCTGATCGTGGATTTCCACTGCAGCGACCAACGGTCGCAGTTCGTCCGCTACGACAAAATTTTTAACGCTTCCGTCGTCTTCGGTTCCGCGGCTTCCCAAAACTGGCTCTGCGAACTGCAGTGGAATTACGCACTGTCGGAGAATGCCATGGTGGAAGTGCTGTGGCGCTCGCAACCGGGTGCTGCCTGGATGTGGTACCCTGCGCGGCTCCTGCATCGTGCTTTCTTCTTTCCCTTTCACGATATTGGCCTCGCGTATGGCGAAGTGGAGTTGGATGGTCGACGTCAAACGGAACTGTTCTCCGCCGACCAAGTGCGTTTCCCGCCATCGAAGGAAGATTTGGCTCAACGAGCGCTGAAAGAAGGCTCCTTTGCTTCGCGAGAGCAGCGTTTGCCTAACAATTTTTGGTCGGACACCACGTCTCTGTCATGTAATCACTTTCGCGAATACCTTCAGTTTTTCGGCAACGAAGTTCGTGTTGTATCGATGCTGAGCGAAACACTGAAGTATGTGCAGCGAACAGCCGCGAAGCCCCTGACAGAGAAGGATGTGGTGCGTACCTGTGTGCTTACAGTACACTACAAGTTTTTCGACTCTTTTCTTATTATTCTTGATTCATAATGCAACTGAAATTACGAGGAACATCAAGGATTCATACAATTAATTAATTACCATCTAATAATTAAGCTTGTCTATTTGTGATTTATAATGACCATTTCGAATTTTTTTTAGCTTTATTGATTTAAAAAATTTTAGTCGCACTGTATGTTGACTTTTGATCGCTCTTTCCTCTGGAATGCGTTCAGGATTTTTTTTCCAGATCATCCAGATTGTTGATTTTCGAAATCTGTAAGAATGGTAACTAAAATGAACCAGTTTTATATTTTTTCAGCTTTAAAGTTCGAATTGTGTTCGCATGTGTTATGTACTACAAGAGCTAAGCGCTAATTTCTAACTGTAGACGCACTAATACTTATCCTAGCATTTTTACGTATAACGCGTCTTTTCCTGGAAAACCTTATGGGTTCAGCTTCGCTTTTCTGCCACACGACTAAATGACAGAGATTAATATGGGCAGAGTGTGCCGTTTTTTACGTGGGTTGTGTTTGATAGGCAACTAAGTACGAGTCAAGCCGAAAGGCGTTTGCACAGCTTCAACGGCTGCAAAATCAAAAGCAGGATGTTCCAGTGCAAACGCCGTTTAACGCGATCGAGACACCGGCAAAGCGCAAGCATCCTGATGACGATGCACAGCCGGAGGTGGAACGTCTCTTACCAAGTGCACCGCATCTCCTGCGCGAGATCTTCCAGTCCATGGACAGTGTCGGCCGAGTGAAACTGCGTCGCGTCTGTCCGCTGTGGAATTGACCTCTTGAGCGACGCGGATAGCGGGAAAACAGTCCGGATATCCTTCTCCACGAACCCGTTTTTCCCACTGGTAGGGGAGAATTTCATTTATGTGTACGGCGGCGTGGCTGGTCTCATCAAGTGCATGAACAGTTCCACGCAGCGCTTGATTATCGAGTGTGTCCACGGGGAGAATTTGGACGGTGCGCTGGTGGCGATGAAGTGGATGCTGCGTGACAAACACCTCAAACAGCTCATCTTCCATAGCGTGGAACTCGTGTGGGACGATCGTTTCGTGGAGCAGTACGTCAGCAGCGGCGATGTGGAGGTTGCGGAGGTGGAGGGTGATGGCAACACACTGGTGCGACGCCTGGCCCAGCACTTCAACAATCTGGCGCCCAGGTGCGACGAAATCCGACTGCGCCGATGTGATATTAACTGCCTGGAGCAGATGACCGTGGTTGTTGCGCATGCGACAATGAAGCCGGGGGCCACGGATATCGAAGCGCAATTCTGGGATCTGTACGAGTCCAGTCTGTCTCGTAAGGAAGTGAATCTGGAAGAAACGGCGGACTGGATTCGCACAGGATCGGAAGCGCTTCGCACGATGATTGCGAAGGTAAAATGCCAATAAAAAACTGTGGTTGGTTGGTTTGCTGATATGTCCTCGTCAGTTGAAATTAATCGCCGATCCGGCAATAGCTTACTGTCAAGAATTTACAATCATTAAGAGTGAAACGAATCTACAATGGACTCCTAAATGTGGTTACACTTAAAGCCGATAGCGCTATGCGTACGCGTGGCTATGTGTAACCACATTAATTTATGAAGTCCACTGTATCTGGTACAAGAAAATATTGTGTGAATGAATATTGTTTCATTTAAACAATATTATGTTCTTGTGCATTTATGAGTATCTGAACCAGCCTGTAGATATACTGGAAAATCATTGGCGGAATTATTTGTACAGTGTAAGCAAACGTATTTTGTTAGCTTGCATTTGTACGTACAGTAATTAAAGTACTAGTGCAGTAATTATATTTGGTTCAAGATTTTGTTTATGTGTAGTACCTCAATGAATGGCAAAGCAGCGATCCGCGCTTAACTACGCAGTATCGCGATCACGAGTGGACGGTGGAGAATCTGAAAGATCTGGATGTCTCCAAGCTGACCATCCTCACTCTGCGCGCCCTGAAGGAAGTCCTTCCCGAAGATATGATGGAAGATGTGTAAACCTATATTACCAGCCTCAACAATGCAAATCTCTCCTGGGCAGTGTGTGCACTGCTGTCTTCTTTTATTTTCGTGCCGGAAATTTGATGTTTTTGTGAAAAATTCGGTTTTATTTGCAAATGGCTAGAGTAATGTGCGAGCCGGCTGTTGACTGCTAATTTAATGGCAACCTAGCTGTACGGGTCACACAATAACATCACTCAGCAGTAGGTATAAAAGTGCGCAGTACATACTTAACATCGCCAAACACCTCGATTTCCGTCAGGGACGACCTTGTGCCCGGCTGTAATTCTTCTGCTGACCAAAGCTTGCAATTAGAACTCGCATCCTAATGCTGCACAAAACTCGTCGATTAAAATAAAACATTCCGGTTGTGATCCACATGCCGACTTTAGTGCTTGCTGCTAGAATACGAACAAAAGTGTCAAACCAGAGTTCAGACAGCCTTGGGCCTTGTGACCAAAATATTCATGACCTGTAGAAATTCATTTAGTGATCAAAGTCTGGTTTGGGGTTATATCCGGTTGTACCGCTTAGAAAGGGCTGGATCTGAGTGCCATACGTACAATTTTTTCTTCTCTCGTTGCAGAAACTAGTGTGTCAGTGTGTAGCTGTAATTTTGGAAATTGTACAGTACCATCCATTTCGTATGCTTTATGCAGTTAAAAATAGCGATTTTTATCGGTTTCTTCTAGTGTTCCTGTTACCCATCAGGCAGCCACGATTTCTAATACCATATTTTGTTAACAGTTTACCATAACAGTTGCCAACTGTTTAATACCATAATAGTTTACAGTGTGTTGTGATAGCTAAAAATGCTCCTCTTTGGAGGAAGTGAAACAGGGTATCGCCCCGTTGACCAGTGGAATTCCGTTCATGTGCTGACGAAGAGCGGTCTCGGGATCTAGACGTTTCTCCAGCGAACTGATGGACAACCTTTGACGGAAAAGATATTGGTACGTACGGAACTACGAATAGATGATTTACGGAACTACGAATTAACATTTTCATTAAGAAACATGTAGCAAACTTTTTTTCTAACTGCAAAGGCGGAGCGAGGCAACAACTCAGCCGTTTACTTTTCCTTTTTTTAAGCAAATGTTTGTTACCTTTGAAAACGAACCAATGCCTCCATTAAGCTAAAGACTTGCATCTTCTAAACAGACGACAAAGGCATGGAATACATTCAGGATATGCCTATGCTAGTCTCGCTTTTCAACGCTATTACGGTACATACTGTAAACATGCCCAGCTAACAGCTTCAGATAAACTTTAGAAGGACCAGCAAACGTCTGGTGCAAATTTGTTATAAATTTTAAGTTAGCTACGTAAAAAAGTTTAAATGCACTTTAAGTTGTTTCCTTCTTTTTGATTTAAATTTTAATTGCGCGCGGTTGCAACTCCTCTATTGTGCGATAGAGAAACGAGTGCGAGACGACCCGCGAAGTCGTTGTAAACTTGGAGGCAAGGGAAATTGGTTTAGACCGGCTATCCTTGAGCGCCACGAAGAAGCGCAAAACTCCCGGAGATGACAGTGGACAGCCGCATACAGTCAGCGTGCTTCCCAGCGAAATGCACCTCCTGTGCGAAATCTTCGACTCACTGGACACCGTCAGCCGCGAGGAAGTGCGCCGCATGTGCCCATTATGGAATACCATCTTAACCAACGCGGACAACGGTAAAACAGTTCGTATTTCCTTTGCAACGAACCCGTTCGTTCCAAGGAAGCGAAGCGGGTGTGGTGGGCCCTGTGGGTGGCTAAAGGCGGCCTCACAGTTCACCGAAAACGAGCATCAGCAGCGCAACGCAACGACTGATTGTGGAGCACGTGACGGATGAAGACGTGGAGAATGTTTTGACAGTAATCGGCTGGATGCTGCGACATGTCCACATTAAATAGCTCATCTTCTTGGATGTGGAGATTAACTGGGAACCTTATATAACGGCAGAGTACAGTCTGTTAGCCGGGGCGATTACCCGATGTATGGCGGCGGGCTTCGACGCTTTGGCACCGCAGAGTGATGAAATGCGGAATTAAACCTGATGTCAGCGCAAACGTAGTTTTTTTGTGATGGCAGTATCTGAAGGATTACCAGAGCTGTGATCCGCGACCGAAGACGCAATATCGCGGAAAACAGTGGACGGTGAATAATCTGAAAGATCTGGATGTCTCCAAGCTGACCACGATCACCCTGGGCGCTTTGAAAGACGTGCTACCTAGAGAACTGAAGTATTCGAGCGGTGCGGATGGTTAGTTCTCATACTTCTATGATGAAGGCAATGAACACCACGAAAATGCCGAAAGTGATGGTGATGTGGAAAATGACGAATTTGACGAGGACGATGAAGGTGACAAAAGGAATCAGACGAAAACGGCGAAGAAGAAGACGATGAAGAATGGGTTGCGTGCCACATATGATATTGGCTTCAAATGCACGAAACGTTTCGGTTAGCTTTCGTGTAGACAAACCTACTCGTAGCAGATGAATTCTGCAAAGGGAAAAATAATACAATTATGGGTGTTTCTTTCTTGACTATTCTGCTTTTTTTTATCATAGTAATGCGTTGACTTTGATGACTCGGTAACAGTGACTTTTTATACGTGAGCGGTCTTTTCTTTACCGAAGTGTCCCGGGGCGATATGCTCGTATATTAGAAATTTATTCGACACGTTCGAACAAAAGTCGTCACAAAAGTTCATTTCTCTCGAACTCAGTTGCTGCTTGCCGGTAAGAAAACGTTGACCCTCAAATTGCGTCTGGAAAACCTAGTTAACTGCTCTAATATAACAGTTGCTCTACATATTTTACTGCTGCTCTAATGGGTTGCGGAAAGTGGTGAAGTGGAATTCTCCACGATTATCCGGCTAAGGAGATGAAAGCTTGACACGGTCGAGGACGTTTCATTAAGCCAATTACCCAGCATGGCTCCGGTCGGAATAATACTGGTTAATCGTAAACCGAGGTAACTCGTGGCTTGTTTTCTTGTAAATTCTTAAGATCATACAAGAACGAAAAAACTCTGTTCTGTTAGTTGCCTAAGTTAGTACAAGACTGAATTATGGAGATTCTAGTAAAGCAAAGCTAACGAAAAACTAAGATCAACAATGATTGCATCCCGAAACCTATCAGAGTAATTAAAAACAAAAAGCAAGGCCGCCCGTTGTAGAGTCCTTTGGTTAGTTTGGTGGTTTAATCGAATCCTTCATCGCCACCCGAAATCGCTCCATAACCACAGCTCACCCGACACTGACCCGGGCGTCCTGCCTGCCGCACCGTCTTCCAAAACCAGACGATCCCGACAACCATGTAGGCCATTACCGCCACGATATGCAGCAACAAACAGGCGCGTTCGGGGAAGAGAAACTCCCAGCTGGTCCGAGCCGCATAGCACCAGGCCCCGTACAGGACGACATGCCCGGATATCATATACACCCAACTGACCGCTGGAATACCCTGGTCCGTCTGTTCGGCCAGTGGTTGGCGCTTCGGGTCGGTGTCTTGCGTGCGTTTCGCGGTACAGCATTCCCAGCAACACCAGAAGCACGCACACAGTAGCAAGATCCACGGCAACAGCGGTATGGCAAAGTGATAGAGGATACAGAACGGCGCCGAGATAGCATAGCCCAACCAGCCGACAGCTAAGACGCCGGGTGAGAGGTTGTTGGCGCCGTCCGGAAATAAGGCTTCGTAGGCGGTGTTGTCCCAGCACGAGCGCAGGTCCACCCAGTAGGACATGCGGGAGGTAATCCCATGCAGCGTCTGCAACACACCCATTCAGGGAACTTTTACTCAACGTGACGTTTTCGCAAAATTTTGGTCGTATTAAGAACACGCTCTCATATCTGTGTACTTTGTGAAATATTGGATACGTACTGTATAATACTACATTAGTATTTATTGATGTTTACTGTAACTTGTCTGCGAACGTACTAACTGCTCATGCAGTTGTACGTGACAACAGCGTATATTCGTATCTAAGCAAGTCAGGACGTACAAGGTTATAATATTATGAGAATACACGCGACCGGCAAGGTCGCACACATATACCACAGACTTATAAGTTGTATATATTGGTCACTACTCAGTAGTCAGTAGGTGTTGCATAACTGACAATAGAATCAGCTATGCCAGTGTATCGTTTTCTTCGGTATGGCTGTACTACTGGCTTGAAAGGGGGAGACTGACCGTTGGCCGTTGCTTGGCGTCTGATGGCAGACTGTGCTGAATACCGACAAACAAATGCCTGTCGTCCATGACTAGCCTCTTGTTCAACCTGCTATTCTGCCGCTTATTGTCAAGAATGCATAGATTGTGCACAGAACGTGACAAAGCCGTTCTACCAGTCTCCCAGCTGACTGCGCTAAACGTGGCTGGGGCACGGAACGAAAGATTGCTTAAGACCACTGATCTAGGCCATTGAATGTTTTCCAAGCTGCTCTGTACTTCCGCGTCAGCTGAGTTACCTCTCTGCTAATTTTGCCGCTCCTGTCTGCTCAGAGTGTGTCCACGCTACGCCAGCTGTTATTCTGTCTAACTCCCTTGATATAACGCTAATATTACGTTCATCGAAGGTGAAAGACTTGTCTTTTTTCGGTCGGTGCTTCACAAGACGCGAATAACCAAAGCGTATCGAATATGTCAGAGCAGAAAGCTGTGCACTCAGGACAGCCGCCCCATCCGCCCCATCCGCCGCCTACCTGGTTGTCTCAAGCTCAAGCACAAATATCTTGATCTCAGCCAACAACGGCGATGGCACAGTGGCTTTGCTACGTGGATCACACGCGGTAGCCAGCGGTTAGATTCTGCTCAGTCGCCATTTTTCAGAATTTCCTTAACATGAAATTCTTTCGGACTTCATCTGGCCGCCCTCCCTTCGCTTAGATACCCACGGACAGCCGTGTTTATGGCAGCCTCTGACAAATATATGTACATTCTATAGGCTTTGGAATAAAAGTCTATTTATCTGGATAGGCCTACGCCCGCACCACCGCGATGACC